GTGGTAATGGTCTTGCAGTTGGGCTACATCCAGAGGCTTGTTAGTAACATATTTAATGGTGATAATGGTCTTACAGTTGAGCTACATCCAGAAGCTTGTTAGTTACATATTTAATGGTAATAATGGTCTTGCAGTTGGGCTACATCCAGAAGCTTGTTAATAACATATTTACTAATGGTAATGGTCTTGCAGTTGGGCTACATCCAGAAGCTTGTTAGTAACATATTTACTGGTGGTAATAGTTTTGCAGTTGGACTACATCCAGAAGCTTGTTAGTAACATATTTACTAGTGTTAATGATCTTGCACCTACTGTTATTAAAATATACTATTTTACTTATTTCTACATTGATGAGTTAGGTAGGCTACAAATCCCCTTTTGTTTTTCGTTTATGAAATTATATAGCAATTAATTTAGACAATTTTGTCAGATGGGACAAAGGTAGTACTTATCTCTGGACACACCATGTATATATTAGGTTTTTATAAATTATAACTCTGTTTGTTTCTTAACATCTCTTATACATCTATATCTAGACTGGATGCTATGTCAAAGTGAGTTAGTGTGGAGTTAGTGTAGTGTGTTATAACACAGAAAATACCAATGCACATACATTTTAATTTATTGGATAATTCACTTTATTTAGAAAATGCACTATTACCCACGTGTATACGTGACTTTAAATACATTGCCTTCCTAGTTCTGTTTTTCTTTATTTTCAATTATACCTTGGACTTAGGTGAGAATTAAATTGACCTTTTGAGTTTATACATCAAACATTCACGTTGGAATATATATATGTATGTGTGTGTGTATGTTTATCATTATCACATCTGAGTCCGATGCTCAATATCAACAGCTTTGTATTTTTATATATGATGAATAAAAATTATGATTATTTAATCTTCTCAGTGTGGTGAATATTATTTCAAGAGTTATTTTTATTTTGTAGAAATTTGTTACGTTTTAAAGGCTCATTTTAAACTAAGATCGAGTACTAATGTACTTAATATTTTACCTTCTTTTTATAAGCAATAACTACTTAAACGCGTCAACTACTGAAAAAAATAGCATCGTTATAAAAGGTTTTCCTTAAAATGCAGCAAGCACTCTATATTAACTATCCGTGATAAATGACAGCAGAGTGACAAAATAAACGTATAAATGTAATATTCATTATGGCTCTCTATGCAACACACGTGTACGATTATCTAGCTAAGCCTTTTCAACATTGATGATTTTTTAAAAGAAAGTCAGGTTCATTTACATGGTCATGAATAAGGTTTATCTGTTAATAGACATTGGCTGTACGTTTACAAGTCTTCCTATTCTATAAACCATACAAAAATGAGACAAATTTACTCTGAATGGCAATAACGTTTAATCAAGTTAAGTTAAAATATATTGATTCTTGATTTCGACCAGTTATACAGTTTCCAGCATCAAGTTCATTATCGGTTTCAATAAAAATATCAGGCAGGGATTTATGATGGAACAAGTATTAACTTTTTATATTTTTCTCAGATGGTGAAGATTTTATTAAAGTTTGGGCGATTAGGTCAAAGACAGCGAAGTTACTGATGATTACACACATGTATGTTTTTTTCTTTTCGTCATTGGTTGTTAGACACTAGACCTCATATAAATTACACTGATACTTAACAACTATTTTTTATTATATCTAAAGATGTAAATTAGTTACAGTTTCTTGGAGCTGGTTGACGTTTATTTCTTCAGAAGGAAAATAACATTTCTTTCATCCTACTCACTTCTTGCCACTTAGATTTTTTTTCGTTGACTAAATCCAATTAATAAGCATTCCATTGTCTAATAACTAGTAATAAGTCTAGAATAGTGTCTCGTTGTGTTATTATTAGTTACAAGCGTAGTTTGTATCAATCATTTTTATCGGCTACGTTTGCTCTATATACGCAGCAGTAAAACTTTTTTATTAGCCTCACGAAGTTGAACAGACTATAATTAGGACCCACCACGTCGGCTTCAAGACACATACACGGTTTTCCACTTTGTTTGTTATACGTTCTTAACTGGTAAATTTTGCAAAGAAAGGACGGGGCATACCTTTAGTGAAATGCATGCACTATTTAATTTTTAAGTTAATATTTAACTAACTTATAACTTTCGTTATTACAGAGCGATACGAATTTATGTTATATTCTTACATGATACTGACGTTTCATTCATATTCATAGAACAAATATTAAAAAGTAATTGATAATTATATGGAAACATGTTTTACAATGTTTGACGTTGTTATAAGAAGTAGAAATATACATGTGGTAAAATTCAGATCTTGGGTTTGGGAATTCAGTCAAAATATATAAATATTTCTAAGTTTATGTTAATATTTCCTTCTCAATACTGACTCAGTATACATTATTCTGACCGAAATTTTAGTGAACGGTCTTCTTCAGAACATCATAAAACTATATTTTGTAACCATTAAAAAATTTTACAAAATATACTAATATTCCTTTTTTAATGGTTACAAAATATACTAATATTCCCCATTAAAAAATGAATATTAGTATATTTTGTAACCATTAAAAAATGAATATTAGTATATTTTGTAACCATTAAAAAAGGAATATTAGTATATTTTGTAAACATTAAAAAATGAATATTAGTATATTTTGTAACCATTAAAAAAGGAATATTAGTATATTTTGTAAACATTAAAAAATGAATATTAGTATATTTTGTAACCATTAAAAGGAATATTAGTATATTTTGTAACCATTAAAAAGGAATATTAGTATATTTTGTAACCATTAAAAAATGAATATTAGGTTTAAGCCCAATGTGTTTACTTACATCTAGTTTGCATGGAATTACGTTCAGGTTCTATGAATTTGTTATGCTCTTTTCAATGCTCATTAAATATTAATCAATTTACAAATATTAATAAATAATTCATTTGTATTTCATAGTTTCGAATAGGAAAATTTTCAATGAACGTTTATAACAAACTGGCTGCAGACCACGTCCCATCGAAAGATTCAAGAAGCTATGTCAAACATCCGTCATCCCATCATTGTTAGGCAAGATCTTCAGTGCCTTGGAACTAACACTGACAGTTATGGGAGAGTGAGTAATGAACAATCTCTGTTGTGGGATTCGCCCAAGAAACAATACTGTGAAAAATGTCAAAGTCGACTTATACAACTGAAAAAGCAAGCGTTGGGGATGATGATAGCCTATAGAACACAGGAGTTAAAAGGCATTCCGTTGCAGGTAAGTCGATTCTATTGTGAAAGTCTCTTAATAGTAGGTCTATTTATCATCCAAAAAACAGGGAAACAAAACGTTTCTACGAAACGTGTTGTTCTTTATTCGTCTTAGAACATGCTCTGGGTATTCAATGAGCAGCGGTCTGTTGTCAAGGGAACAAACAATATGTAATGTGATGGCTCTTCTGAATGGTTGCTCAAAAGGACACCTTCGAACCGTTAACAAAGCTTCAAAAACAATTCTATTTTAAGTATTATTTCTAACTGTATTTTATTCTTATTTTGAAACCATTACGTATTCTCTACTCTGTTCAAACACAACTTCTTAAAAAAACAACTTAACTAAAACCAAACACACCATAAATTATGCCTACTTACCATTAGAATCACATAAAGAAATTTAATAATATCGGTTGCATGGTAATTCAGAAAATTCTATTAGAAAATTGCTTAACATTTTTTTACATTTGGTAGTTAGTTTAAATTAGGTGTTCAGTGACTTGTTTATTATTTTTCCGTCTGTAATGTAAAATCCTTGTTTTTGAACTCTCACGTTTCTACAAGTAGAGCAGAAGCTACTAATAAGGAAAGTAAAAATAAAATGTTTTTATCAAGATATGTGTATTCTTTGTGGTCATCTTGTCACCCACCCATTTCTTACATCATACATAAATTAATTCAATAATACCATTTTAAACTTCTTTTCAACGGCCGATCTTCTTTGGGAGATGAACACAGTAAGTAATCATTAGAGATCCTTGCACGCCCTTTTTTTTATTTCGTCTTTTTCTACACTTTTGTATTCACATATGTGTTAGAAAAGTTACAAGGAACACACTTGCTAATTAACCAGTGTTCCTGCGCATGGTAATTTTTGCAAGTAATATAATTTCCTTTGAGATTATGATTTTTCCCCAGTAATGGGCGAAACAAAAACATAAAAAAATGCAGAAAAATGAAGAGTGAGACTAACGGACATTGTATCGTCATTTACATCATTTTACAGAGAAAGTAAATGAAACACTTTTTAAGCCTCCGATCCTGGTGCGCCATAACTTTACTGATAAGAATCTATATAAATATAATAGTACTGTCTGTTGTATGTCCATGTAACTACTTTACAGGGTGTGGATGGATCTTCACTAAAATTGGTATGGAGGCTCATTAGGTCCATGCAAATTTTCAGTTTTGCATTTTGCAGTTTTTATGGGCGTTTTTTACCACTACTTCGCCACCTGTAGATGGATCTACACCAAATTTGGTATGGAGGTTCATTGGGTCCATGTGGAGATACACAAAAAAATTCAGTTTTGGATCTTTCGGTTTTCATGGGCGTTTTTGCGTGTTTTTGTTTTAATTACATATAAGGAAAGCAACTTTTCATATCCTAAGACAACCTTTCATTAATTATGAATTTACATAACTTCCGTCCAAGGGATGGGTACTTCAGCTAGTGTATAAGAAAATACTACAAAATAGTTGGCTCAAGTTGGTTTAAAACCAATTGCTGCAATCATGTAGTAAAGTCACAAGAAAAAATGTTTTATAAAAGATAGAAATAATAGTGAGTTTCTTTGTTTACGAACAAAGCCACTTTAGGCCATCTGCTGCGTCTACTAGGGGGAATCGAACTCTGTCCCATCGGGTCACAACAATACTCAGCTGAAAGAACAACCAAAGTAATAGCTTTCGACAATGTCAATACACGCTTGATATAGCTTACGAAATTGCATTGTTAATATAATCCTTTACAATATTGTTATATTATAATAGAGATTAAACAAAAACGCTCAAACTGCACAGTTTCACCTGTGACCTAACTCCTGAAGAAGAAGTATATGTGGTTTCGTTTGAATTTCGCGCAAAGCTACACGAGGGTTATCTGCACTAGCCGTCCCTAATTTAGCAGTGATAGACTAGAGGGAAGGCAGCTAGTAAAAACCACCCACCGCCAACTCTTTGGCTGTTCTTTTACCAACGAATATTGGGATTGACCGTCACATTATAACGCCCTTACGGCTGAAAGGGCGAGCTTGTTAAGTAAAGGAAGGGACTCGAAGTATATGTGTTTATATCTTTGATATATTTTTTTAACTTTTCTCTCTGTAGATTTCCCATGAGTTATATTTTTTGTTTTTCATATGTTAACTTTTCTTATAGCTATTAATTTTTGTAAAGAGTGGTTATAAATATTTCAGTTTAGCATGAATTTGAAATAATACTTCTCATAACTTTGTATCTTCAAATGCTTAAAGAATAACGTTTACCTTCGATTTAATCTTTCTTTACGAATTTACGTTCTCAGTATTGTGTAGCTTTGCGCTTAACAATAACCAAAGATGCTGTCAGTACGTTGCCCTCAGTTTGTAACTACAAGGAAGCTTTTCGTGTTATTTGATTATCCTGTAGGATTCAAAGTAGGGTTAGGTGAATTAGGGTCTTTATATTAGCTTTACATATAAGTAGGTCCTTGAAAATTAATTCTGACATGTTTACATAATGGTGCAAGTCGATTTAATCCTATCATTAATTAGTAATAATGATTGATTTGAGAATAGTCTCAGAGGGATGTGTGTGCTTCAGCTTGAACCGTAGACGTAATCTCAGTGAGTCAGACTGTTGTCCCACACAAGCGAGCAGTGTAGGATCTGTTGGACTGGGTTGCTCTAAGCTTATATTTACATTCGCTTTGTAGATAAATACCTTCTTGTCGGAGGTGTTTCTGACGAACCTCTTGATTTATGGTCAGATTTGACGTACTAGTAACAATTAATTTTGTTAACTTCTGTAAGTAAAGTAAAAGCTATAAGCTTTAGATTTCTATTTGTGTTAATGTGATGATTTGATGTTTCTATTTTATTACGATTTTTTTATGACTAAACCTACAATTTCTACATGAATGATTATTAAAAACGTTTCCTGAGCTTATTTTATTTAGTGTGAAGAGTATGCTCAATATGGAAACACCATGTATATAAAAATAGAAAATCAATACTCAAACAGTCAAGCAATACAAAATCAGAAGGAAGGACTGCGTTAAAAACAGTAAATCCAAACCTGTGATAAATGACATCCAAATGAACGAAAACAAGCCCAAACAAAAGTCAAATAAAGACGCTGCACAAATCAAAAGAATCCCCATGGCACAGGCTATAATGTGGAGTATAAAATGTGCCCTGGGCTTTGGAGGTGACTGCGGAAGTTGGACCCACATTGCCGTGGGGATACACCGTCTATCAGTCTTAACCTCCGTTCGCTAGTCTCACATGAAGAAGTTCAAAAAATAACCAAAAGTAAAAATTAGGAGAGCGAGATGTGGGTGCTCTACCCCACAATGTCTCACATCTATATCGCCCTTCTCTGCTTGCAGAAAGCTGTGGGAAGGTGACTGGTCTCCAAAGTAAAATAATTAAGAAAATAAAGAAAGACAAGATAAAGTACTACCACTTGGGGGAAGTAAGGTAATCTTACCTTCTGAGGTTGGCGCCCATTGTAGTAGTAAAGCACTAATTAGTAACACACTAGACAAATTATTCTATTGTAACATCCCAACCAATTTATATTTATCACAGAATATTTTGATAATTTTATCTAAAGTTTCTTTATTAAATCCATTGAATATTAATTTCTGCATTAATTATTCAACATTAATAATGAAATATTGTAATTTATTACATATTTTACAAAATCTGAATAATTGCGACGTTATAATACTTATAAAAGAAGAGAATGGCACATTACTATTATTAGATTTGTGGTTGGGAGTTATACTAGTTAGTTTAGATAACTTGGTTATCTAAAAAAAGATCCAAACCTGTCCCCTGGGGATCCTTTTGATTTTTACAGCGTCTTTATTTGACTTTTGTTTGAGCTTGTTTTTGTTCATTTATGTATATGTATATATATATATAACGAAAAATATATTGAACAGGAGATACAGTTAAGTAAATTTTTGCCTCAAAAGTAAGAATATCATTAAGAGCAGTTTTAATTTAATTATTAGTTCAACAAATGTAAATCAACCAAACGTACACGTTTTATAAAGATTAAACGCATGCAATGTAAGAAAGTGGATAACCCAAGTTCTGTCGAAAGTTGGACCTTCCTTTGAGATAAACCTTCCTTTTTAAGGTTTTCATTTTCGTTATTCGTCTAATTTGCCAACAAAATGTTTTCTTATTCATAGTTATGAATTATTTACTTACTTGTTGGAAATGTAAAAGCAGTTCAGATACATATAGTTATTTAGATACCATTGACGCAAAAAGTAAGTACATTGCCAAAACTATGTCGCGTGTGATGTGATAATTTGAATGTCTATAGCCCTAAACTACTTGATAAATACTTAGAAGAATTGTTATTGCTTAACTTAACTGTTTTGGGGCAACACTGTAATGTATTAAAATACCACAAGAAAGGATGTTTAGGCCCAAATTTTCTTCTCTTATCTATAAAGTCGTAACATTTATAGGTGCAATCCTTGTCTAGAAGTATGGATTCTATGCAATAAAACACCGACTCTTCCTACTTATAATTCATTTAGGTGGTAATGTTTGTATGTTATTTTGCCACACATAAAATAATTAACCAACAGGTTGTTAGAATCTGCCACATAACAGTGCTTTGTCCTAGACAATGTGTACATCACGTTTTGTATATTAAGACCGTAGGGACCTCAGATATTAGAAACATTAGTATTTTTGTGGTATTTTTAAGAACGACCAGTATATTTTCCTTTGACGGAAATGGGTTTGAGACTGTGTTCGTCAGTTTTGCGGTAATTACGATTACGACGGCTGAAAAAATTTTCTAGTTTTCTTTTTCTCTTTCCCGTCTTATTTCCAAGCGAATGGTCTTGCTAGCTCCCCCCCCCCCGTATCTTTAGGTTATCTTTCAAGTACGAAGAAGCTTCTCCAATCCATCAGTATGGTTTTAAATACCTTCCAGGGACGTCTGTAAACATAATTATTCTAGAGGTACGCTCGCACTTTGCACCTGTGTTGG